TATTTGTTTTGCGATTGTTAATTTTTCGATTTAGTGTTTCGATTTGCAATTTTTCTAGTTGTCAATTTTAAATTTTAAGATTTTTCAAGTTTTTCGACTTTTTTCCTTTCTTCAGTCTTACGATTTTGCTATTTTCAGCTTCAATTGTAGTAATTTTTCAAACTTTTGACGTATCAATTTTTCCATTTTTCAATTCCTCGATTTCTAATTTTTCAGTGTTTCGACTTTTAGTTTCTGAATTTTTAATTTTTAGATTTTTCAGTTGTTTTATTTTTCATTTTCTCGATTTAAATTTTTAGATTTATAAATAATAATAATTTTATTTACAAAAAAAATTGTTTACATAAATCAAACTAAATAAGATACTTGATAATCGAGTGAAATTATTTCAATTTAAATTAGCTTTTGGATTTTAACTTCGCAATTCTTATGTTTAATTTTTTTTAATTCTAATTTTTCGATACGCAATTTTTCACTTTATACCTATTTTATTTCTTCATTTTTTTCAATTTCTCAACGTTGATGCTGTATTTCTCAAATTTTTAACTTCGTTTCTTCAATTTTACGACTTTGTAATTTTTCGATGATTTCAATAAATATGTATTAGATTGTTTTAATTTTGCGGTTTTTCGATGTTTCAATGTTGCAACTTTTAGGTTTTTCATTTTTGATTTTTCAAATTTTCAGTGTTTCGACTTTTTCACTCGTTTAGTTTTTCAGTTTCTCAAATTTTCGATTTTCCTTTCTCCAATTTTTAATTTTTTCGATTTTTGAACTATTTTTCCATTTTGACTTTCTCCAATTAAAATTTTTCGATTTTCGTCTTTTCTAATTTTTTTTTAAATCGTTTTTTGTCACCTTTTTTTACCTTTGTGATTTTTGTCGTTTTTGGTTGTTTTTTAGCGTGTTTTTATGACATTTTTTCGTTTTTGACTTTTTGGCGCTTTTTTTCGCATTTTTTGTAATTTTTTTGGCGCTTTTTTGGTCGCTTTATATGGCTTTTTTATGGATTTTTCGCCCATTTTTTAATTGCTTTCGTGTCGATTTTTCTGTCACTTTATTTTGTCTACTTTTTGACGTATTTTTATGGGGAATTTGTTACGTTTCTGCCGTTTTTGCTTTTTTATTGCACTTTTTTTGTCGACTTATTTTTTTACATTTTTTTATGTTTTTAAAACGATTTTTTTTTGTTCCCTTTAAAGTTGCCTGTTTTTAATCGCCGTTTTTTCGTTATTTTATTTTTTCTCCCTTTGTTTTTCCTTTTTTTTTGTTATGATTTTTGTCGCTGTTTTTGTTGTGACTTGTCGTTCTTTTGTTGTTCTTTGTTTTTTTTGGCATCTTTTTTTGGTGCACGTTTTGCCGTTTTTTTGTCCTTTTTGAATCGTTTTTAGCGCTTTATTATTTTATTTTTTCTCTATTTTGTGGTCGTGATTTTCTTACAGGTTTTTTCTTCTTTTTGTACCGCCCTTTTTTGGTGCATTTTTTTAATGGCGTTTTTTGTTGTTCTTCAATTTGGAAAATATGTATTAGATTTTTTTTAATTTTTCGATGTTCAATTTTGCAACTTTTAGGTTTTTCATTTTTGATTTTTCAATTTCTCCGTGTTTTGACTTTTCAATTTTTCAATTTTCGATTCCTCAATTTTAAATGTTTTCAAGTTTTTTTCTGATTTGTGACTATTTTTCCATTGTTACGAATTTTTCAGTTTTTGGATATTTTAATTTTTCGTTGTTTTCAATTTCGCTATTTTTCGTCTCAATTTTTAATTTTTAAGTTTTTCAATTTTTTGATTTTCAATTTCTCGAATTTCAATTCTTAAACTTTTCGATGTGTCATTGTTGCAATTTTTCTATTTCCCAATTTTTAATTTCTTTCGGTTTTTCCGATTTTTGAACTATTTTTCCATTTTTACTTTCTTCAATGAAATTTTTTTTTTGTTTTTTGTCGTTTTTGGTTGATTTTTTTTATCGTCTTTTTATGACATTTTTTCGTTTTTGTGGCGTTTTTGACTTTTTAAATTGTATTTGTCATTTTTTTCCGCCTTTTTTGTTGTTTTTAGGCGCTTTTTGGTCGCTTTATGGATTTTTTCGCCTATTTTTTAAATGCTTTCGTGTCGATTTTTTCTCACTTATTTTGTCTACATTTTTTGACATATTTTTGTGTTGTTTTGTTACGGTTTTGTCGTTTTTGTTTTTTTTTTACCTTTTCTTATTGCACTCTTTTGTCGACTTATTTTTTACGTTTTTTGCCGTTTTTAAAACGGGTTTTCTGATTCCCTTTAAAATCGGCTTTTTTAAGTCGCCGTTTTTTTGTTATTTTATTTTTTCTCTCTTCGTTTTTCCACTTTTTTTTTGTTGTTCTCTATTGTCTTTTTTGGGCATCTTTTTTTGATGCAATGTTACATTATCGTCTTTTCTGGTCGCTTTATGTGTTTTTTTAATGGATTTTTTCGCTCATTGCTTTCGTGTCGATTTTTTTCTCACTTTATTCTGTCTACTTTTTTTGACGTATTTCGCTTTTTCAAATATGTTTCACTGTTGCAATTTTTAGGTTTTTCAATTTTTAATTTTTTCGAGTTTTTCCAATTTTTGACTATTTCTCCATTTTCATTTTCTTGAGTTCAAATTTTTCGATTTTTCAATTTTCAGATGTTTTAACCTTTCGTTGTTTTCAATTTTGCTATTTTTCGTCTCCCAATTTTTAATTTTTTCAATTTTTCATTTTTAGTTCCTTTAATTTCAATTTTTAAACTTTTCAATGTTTCATTGTTGCAATTTTTAATATTTTTGTTTTTTTCCGATTTTGAACTACATATTTTTCCATTCTTACTTTCTCCAATTAAAATTTTTTCATTTTTTTATTTTTAGATGTTTTAATTTTTCGTTGCTTCCAATTTTGCGATTTTTCGTCTCTCAATTTTTTTTTCGATTTCCAGATTTCCAAATTCTCGCATTTTAATTCCTAACTTCTCGATGTTTCATGTTGCAATTTGTCGATTTTTCCTGTTTCCGAATTATTCTTCAATTTTTATTTTCTCAAATTCAAATTTTTCGATTTTCCAATTTTCAAATATTTTTAGTTTTTCGTTATCTGAGATTTTTTAATTTTTCGGTTTTTCAGTGTTACAGTTAGGTTTTTCGTTTTTGATTTTTCAATTTCTCGGTGTTAATACTTTTCAATTGCTTAATTTTTTCGATTTTTCCGATTTTTGAACTATTTTTCCATTTTAATTTTCTCCAAATCAAATTTATCAATTTTTAGATGTTTTAATTTTTCGTTGCTTCCAATTCGATTTTTTGACTCACAGTTTTTAATTTTTGGGTTTTTCAATTTTTCGATTTCCTATTTCTTGAATTTCAATTCTTAAACTTTTCGATGTTTCATGTTGCAATTTTTCAATTTTCCCTATTTTTGAATCATTTTTCAGTTTTTATTTTCTCGAATTCAAATTTTTCGATTTTTCAATTTTTAGGTATTTTAGTTTTTCGTTGTTTTTAATTTTGCTATTTTTCGTCTTTCTGTTTTTAATTTTTCAATTTTTCGATTTTCTATTTCTCGAAATTCAATTCTTGAACTATTTTTCGGCTTTTCTTCTTTGTTAGCGTTTTTCCGTCCACACGACATTTTCCTAAAGTACATACAAAATTTGACAACAAACGGTCGGGTAGTTTGGAAGATTATCTGTCAAACAAAACTCGACACAAATGCGTCGAGAAAACATTAAATTAGTCACTCGCCCGATGGACTCTATCACAATACTTCCTTAGCTTACGCTCGGGAAGAAAAATTAAGGCAAATCCATAAATCACAGGTACAGAGAAGTGTTATTTCATAAAATTCAAGCAAGATTTACTTAATACATATATTCCTCAATTACGTCTGCCATTTCACAAGAATCAGTTCAGTAGTTTCTAATTAAATTACCAACACACAGACGGAAACGGCAAACCTACTTTTTCATGCTCTAGGGGTTATAAAAATCTAGGTTAAACAGACTTTCTTCAGAACACAAAAGAATTCTTGCACTTTTGAATATTTAACAATCATCTCTTTTTCAGACAATTAATTACGTTTTTCAGGGGATTTTAATACAATTTGTACAGACAACAGAGCCGTTACAACGCCGCCACAGTCAGTACAACTAAACAACACATGATCCGCGTTTTTCGTCTACAACTCGTTCCACTTATTACAACACCGATGTTATCGTTATGTAAATGTTAGTGTCGCCTCCGCTGGCTGTACAATTTTTCTAATTTTTAATGTTCAAAGTAAATGCAACTTTAATAGCACAATAAACATTTATAACTGAATTAAGCAAGTAAAACATTAACCTCTTTTCTCAAAATACGACTTTTATTAGCAACTAGAAGCTGCAACTGTTCATTGTTTTTTGGCACCAAATATTTTGATTTTCAAACCTTCGCTACGTTTTTAAACAAACCAAAACCGAATCAAACAAATCGTCTCAGATTTGCATCTTGCATCAGCTGAAAACCGCGTGTGTTGACATTCCAGTGTGACCCACTGACGAGGTTAATGGACAAGTTACGCAACGCATTTGCAAGAACTACACCGGTTTTTGCAAAACAAGTCGCTCAAAGCCCTCCAGTCTCCAGTCAGTCTAGTTCTAGCCCTTTCGAGTCGAACAATAAGTGCATCCATCACTCAAACAGGTAGACCCTTCAGGCTAAAACGTCCCCTTTGTCACAGATGGCCCCGGAATTCCAAGATTCGGAAACAACGTTGTTCAATTTTGCACACCCCTTTAAATTTTAAATGAGCGCAAGCTAGCACCGTTCTAACGTCCTATCCCCATTTGAATTTTAGATAGCATGCACACAATAAAACGGTAGCACTGATTCAGCAAAACGCACACCTTTGTCTTCCTCGACAAAGGCTTTGTTGGAGGCAAAGCGGACCGAATTAGTCCCGTTTTGAAATAGTTTCACTTTGGCAAGTAACGCGGAAAAATTCAAGGAACAGAATCGATAACTCACCCGAAAGCGCCGCGATGTATTGGAGAGCAGAACTACCCTTGGTCTCTGACGTCATGTTAACACTTCTTCACTCGACGAATGGTTGTGCTAGAATGGTCGTACCGCACCAGCCGAACCACTGGAAAAAAACACCACTCGGACCCGGCTCGAGTCAAGGTCACGTGACGGGAGAAATTTGCAAAAAGAGACACGTGTTTCGGCCGGTGTTGATTGATGGTGGAAGTTTTGGGTTCGGAGAAGCGCGTGTGATTTTTTTTAGCTAATCGAGATACTTGTAACAGATTTATGACGGTTCAAGGTGGTTTTTTTGAAAAAGTTTGCACCTTGAAGATGACACGTCATGAATATTTGAATTGCTTGCGCCGATAGTTCAAGGTTTTTTCTACAACTTTAATCAGTTTGTGTACGTTGTATTATCAAGAATTCTGACATTATCACCTGTATAATAAATTCTTCGCGTGTATTTCCACGCTAATTTTAAAATGAGTTAATTTTCCACTAGTGAACTTTGGATGCGAATTATCTCTTGGATTTCTTGCAACCATGTTTCATGCGTTGTCCGAATTTGGCCTTCGCGTTATCAGTGATAAGTATTTCCTCCTGATTGTTTGTTTATATGACTAGTTAGGGAAAGTGTGCAAGTTGAGGATTTCTCCAGCCATTTAAATACCTAGTCTCCTTTTCTTTTTGTTTACTTAGTTAAGTGCACTCGATAATGAACGGATACATAATCACATCAGATATACTTCCTATCAGACTGTGTATTCAAGATAAACCAGTATCAGTTTTTAAACAAAGACATTGTGCGGTTTTCGCCAATTTTGTGGTTTAGAAACAGTTGTAACTGTTTTAAATGGTGACTCACGTTCTGGAGTACTACTGCTGTGTGTATTAGTACTTAATAGTTGTCACTGTTTGGTCTAACAATTAGAACTTTCTTTTATAAGAATAGGCCAACGGACCCAGCGGCATCTCACATCTTGGAGAGCGCCACCCAAAATTTTGATTCAGATTTGTTTTTTATATTAGATAAAACACTGTCATTTATTTTTAGAAGCGGCTCAAATTTAATTATGCCGGCTGTTAAATATTTACATTCAGAAATTTCCATACATGTTTTATATATTTTTTTATCGTTTTTGAATTTTGAAGCCTATTTATATGTAACAGCATCGCGCCTGCACGAGCAATGAAATAAAGATGATGTAATTTTGTTTATCGATTTTAGTTTATTCATTCCGAGAAAACTGAACATTCGTATATTTGTTTTTGATTTCTAGAAGGCGTTAGTAACCAATTTATAATCCGTCAGCTGCTAATTAATTTTTAAGAAAAAACAGGATCAAATGTAGCTATGGATTTTTGAAGATTTGTCTTTGATTGAATTTCTGTCAAGAACTAAAGTCATATTTTCCAAAATTTTAACTGTTGTATTTTTATTGTTCGTTCACATTATCATCAATACCACAATGTTCCGCACAAATATAACGTAGAAACTAGGGGCGTGTTATGCATTTATCTTGCATTTATATTTAGCAAGAAAATAATTTTCTTTGTCTTCATGGGATTATATTGAACTGAAACAACTTTTATCACTTATTTTGCCATCTTTTACTATGCGGTTTTTTTACCGCTTATTCGACTCCTTTTTCCTTTTTACAAGTTTTTTTCAAATCGTTTTAGTCACCTTTTTTGTCTTTTTTGGGTCACTTTATTTTTATCTCCTTTTTTGCCGATTTTTTATCATCTTGTTTTGGTCTACTTTTCCATGATCGCATTTTTTGTTGGTTTTTGAAGATTTTGTTGCCCTTTTTATCGTTTTTGGTGCCTTTTTAGTCCCCTTATTTTTCTCCTCTCTTTATTTTCGCTTTTCTGATTTTTTTGGCCTTTTTCGTACCTTTTTTTTGGTCACCTTGTTTGTCGCTTTTTTGCTTTTTTTTGTCAATTTTTTCATTCTTTCTGAATCACTTTCGTGCCGCCTTTTTTGTCGCTATTTTTGTAATGGTTTGTGGATCTTTTGTCACGTTTTTTCGTTTTTGTGGATTTTTACCCTTTCGAAATATTTTTTGTCGCCTTTGTTGGTTTTCTTTTGTTATTTTTTTTTACCGTTTTTTCTCTGTTAAGTTTTTATCTCCCAGTTTTTGTCGCCTTCTTTCCGTCTCTTTTCGTTTCTTTTTTTTTGTCTTTTTTGTGGATTTGTGCCGTTTTTAAGTCGTTTTCTGGCGCCTTATTTTTTCTCCCCCTTTTTTTGACTATTTTTTTGTGAGATTTGTTTTTTTTTGGCTGCGTTTTTCGTTTTTTTTACGTTTTTTTTGCCCTTTAAAATGGTTTTTTGGCACCTTTTTTGTCCCGTTTTTTGTTACCTTAATGATTTTTGTCAGGTTCTTTGTCCTTTTTGGTTGTTCTTTATCGTCTTTTTTTAGTACATTTTTCGTTTTGTGGATTTTTTGACCTTTTTAAATTGTTTCCGCCTTTTTTGTTGTTTTTAGGCACTTTTTTGGTAGTTTCATATAGAATTTTTATGCATCTTTCGTCCCTTTTTTAATTGCTTTCGTGTCGATTTTTCTTCTCAACTGATTTTGTCGTATTTTTGTCGCTGTTTTGTTGTCTTTTTTTGGTTTCTTTGTGGATTTTTTCACCCCTTTTTTAATCAGCTATTTTGTCTCCTTTTTTGTCGGCATTTTTGTTGCGGGTTTTTGTCTTCTTTGTGGATTTTTTACTGTTTTTTGCCGTTTTTTGATTACGTTTTTTCGCTCGTTTTTTTGTTGCTTTTTTCTCCTCCTTTTTGTCTCTTTTTTGTCGTTTTTTTGTCATGTTTGCTTTTTTCCGTTGTTTGCATTTTTTATCTTTTTTTTTTAATCGTCCTTGGCACTTTTTTGTCGCTTTTTTTGTTACAATTGTGACTTTTGTCAAGTTTTTTTGTCGTTTTAGGTTGTTTTTTAGTGTATTTTTTTAGTACATTTTTCGTTTTTGTGGAGATTTTTTAACTTTTTTAAATTGTTTTTTTTGCACCTTTTTTTTGGGGCCATTTCTGTCCGTTTTGTGGATTTTTTTGTCCTTTTTGAGTAGTTTTTTAACGCATTTTTTTGTTCCCTTAATTGTTTCTTTCTTTTTTTACCCCTTTTTTGGTCGCGATTTCTAACAGGTTTTTTCTTCCTTTTTATGCTTGTTTTTTTATAGTTTTTTTTTTTGTAAACTTTTTCTAATTTGTTTTTTTTTTGCCCTGTTTAAGCGCATTTTGGTACTTTTTTGTTATCTTTTTTTTTTCATTTTGTTCTCCCCGTTCTTTGTCGTCCTTTTTTGTCGTGATTTCCGTCAGTTTTTTGTCATTTTTTGTTTTCTGTCACTTTTTTCTGCCATTTTCTTGTGTATTTTGTTGGAGTATTTTCTGTCATTTTTTTGTGAATGTTGTTTTAGTGTACTTTTTCATGATCGCATTTTTTGTTGGTTTTTGAAGATTTTTTTGTCCTTTTTTTCGTTTTTGGTGCCTTTTTAATCCTCTTATTTTTCTCCTCTCTTGCTGCTTATGTTGTTTTTTTATTGTATTTTTTAACACCTTTTTTTCGCTTTTCTGATTTTTTTGGCCTTTTTTCGTTCCTTTTTTTTGGTCACCTTGTTTGTCGCTTTTTTGCTTTTTTTTTGTAAATTTTTTCATTCTTTGTGAATCACTTTCGTGCCGCCTTTTTTGTCGCTATTTTTGTAATGGTTTTTGCAGTTTTTGTTATTTTTTATGGTTCCATTTTTGTGGATCTTTTGTCACGTTTTTGTCGTTTTTGTGGATTTTTACCCTTTTTATTTCGAAATATTTTTTGTCGCCTTTGTTGGTTTTCTTTTGTTGTTTTTTTTACCGTCTTTTCTCTATTAAGTTTTTATGTCCCAGTTTTTTCGCCTTCTGTCCGTCTGTTTTCGTTTCTTTTTTTTTTGTCTTTTTTGTGGATTTTGTGCCGTTTTTAAGTCGTTTGTTGCCGCCTTATTTTTTCTCCCCCTTTTTTTTGACTATTTTTTTGTGAGATTTGTTTTTTTTGGCTGCGTTTTTCGTTTTTTTTTACGTTTTTTTTGCCCTTTTTTAAATCGTTTTTTGGCATCTTTTTTGTCCCGTCTTTTGTTACCTTAATGATTTTTGTCAGGTTCCTTGTCCTTTTTGGTTGTTCTTTATCGTCTTTTTTAGTACATTTTTCGTTTTGTGGATTTTTTGACCTTTTTAAATTGTTTCCGCCTTTTTTGTTGTTTTTTAGGCACCTTTTTGGTAGCTTCATGTAGTATTTTTATGCATTTTTTCGTCCCTTTTTTAACTGCTTTCGTGTCGATTTTTCTTCTCAACTGATTTTGTCGTATTTTTGTCGGGATATTTGTTACGTTTTTTGTAGTTTTCTTTTTTTTGTTGTCTTTTTTATTCCACTTTTTTTGTTAACTTATTTGTTATCTCTTGATTTTTTGGCGTTTTTAAAATGTTTTTTTGTGGCCTTTAAAGTCGCTTTTTTTAGTCGTCGTTTTTTCATTATCGTATTTTTTCTCCCTTTGTTTTTCCGCTTTTTTGTTTTTTTTTGTTGTGACTTTTGTCGTTTTATTTTGTTGTGGTTTTTGTCCTTTTTTGTCCTTTTGAATCGTTTTTTCTTCCTCCTTTTTTTTGACGTGATTGGACAGTTTTTTAATTCTTTTTTTATGGTCACTTTTTATAGTCTTGCTTTAGCGCACTTTTTACTGCTCGCATTTTTTGTCCTTTTTATCGTTTGTGGCGCCTTTTTGACCCCTTGTTTTTCTAATTATTGCTGCTTATGTTGTTTTTCTCGTCTTTTTTTTAACACCTTTTTTTCGCTTTTCGGATTTTTTTGGCATTTTTTGGTCCTTTTTTTTTGGTTACCTTCTTTTTCGCTTTTTTGTGTTTTTTGTGAATTTTTTCGCCCTTGGTCAATTCCTTTCGTGTCGCCTTTTTTTTGTATTTGTGTATTTTTACACTTTTTAAACGCTTTTTGGCGCTTTCTTTGGGACTTTATTTTTAATCTTTTTTTGGCGCTCTTTTTGTCGTTTTGCTTTTGTGTTCTTTTACCGTCCTTTCTATATTCCCTTTTTTTTGTCCCTGTTTTGTCCTCTTTTTTTCGGCCTTTTTTTTTTGTTGTCTTTTTTTTGGTTTCTTTGTGGATTTTTTCACCCCTTTTTTAATCAGCTTATTTTGTCTCCTTTTTTGTCGGCATTTTTGTTGCGGGTTTTTGTTTTTTTTTGTGGATTTTTTACCGTTTTTGTATGCTTCGTTGTTTTTTTTTTACTATTTTTGTTATTTTTCATTGTCTTTTTGGCATCATTTGTGCTTTTTCCCGTTGTTTGCATATTTTAATCGCCTTTTGGCACTTTTTTGTCGCTTTTTTGTTACAATTGTGACTTTTGTCAAGTTTTTTTGTCGTTTTAGGTTGTTTTTTAGTGTATTTTTTAACTTTTTTAAATTGTTTTTTGACGTTTTTTTTCGCTTTTTTTGTTGCTTTTTTTAGGCGCTTTTTTTTATCGCCTTATGTGGCTTTTTTATGGATTTTTTCGCCCATTACCTTCGTATGAGATTTTTTCTCACCTTATTTTGTCTACTTTTTTTGTCGTATTTTTGTGGGATCTTTGTTTTTATTTTTTTATTGCTTTTTTGATTGCACTTTTTTTTTGTTGACTTACTTTTGTTTTTTGGTACCCTTTAAAGTCGCTGTTTTTCCTTCCTTTGTTTCTAGATTTTCGTTTGTGTTTTTTTTGTGACTTATCGTTTTTTTTGTTGTTCTTTACGGATTTTTTTTGCACCTTTTTTTGGGGCCATTTCTGTCCGTTTTGTGGAATTTTTTGTCCTTTCTGAGTAGTTTTTTAACGTATTTTTTTGTTCCCTTCATTTTTTCTTTCTTTTTTTACCCCTTTTTGGTCGTGATTTCTAACAGGTTTTTTCTTCCTTTTTATGCTTGTTTTTTTTATAGGTTTTTTTTGTAAACTTTTTCTAATTTGTTTTTTTTTGCCCTTTTTAAGCGCATTTTGGTACTTTTTTTGTTATCTTTTTTCCGTTTTGTTCTCCCCGTTCTTTGTCGTCCTTTTTTTGTCGTGATTTCCGTCAGTTTTTTGTCATTTTTTGTTTTCTATCACTTTTTTCTTCCATTTTCTTGTGTATTTTGTTGGAGTATTTTCTGTCATTTTTTTGTGAATGTTGTTTTAGTGTACTTTTTCATGATCGCATTTTTTGTTGGTTTTTGAAGATTTTTTTGCCCTTTTTTTCGTTTTTGGTGCCTTTTTGGTCCCCTTATTTTTCTCATCTCTTGCTGCTTATGTTGTTTTTTATTGTATTTTTATGGTTTTTGCGGTTTTTGTTATTTTTTATGGTTCCTTTTTGCCACATTTTTGTGGATCTTTTGTCACGTTTTTGTCGTTTTTGTGGACTTTTACCCTTTCTAAACATTTTTCGTCGCCTTTTGTTGTTTTTTTTTACCGTCTTTTCCCTATTAAGTTTTTATGTCCCAGTTTTTGTCGCCTTCTTTCCGTCTTTTTTCGTTTCTTTTTTTTGGTCGTGCCTTTGTGGATTTTTTCACCCTGTTACGGTTTTTTGTTTTTTTTATGATTTTGTGCCGTTTTTAAGTCGTTTGTTGGCGCCTTATTTTTTCTCCCCCTTTTTTTGACTTCTTTTTTTTTCGTTTTTTTTTGTGACATTTGTTTTTTTGGCTGCGTTTTTTTGGCACCTTTTTTGTCCGTCTTTTGTTACCTCAATGATTTTTGTCAGGTTCTTTGTCCTTTTTGGTTGGTCTTTATCGTCTTTTTTGAGTACATTCTTCGCTTTGTGGATTTTTTGAACTTTTTAAATTGTTTCTGACGGTTTTTTCCGCGTTTTTGTTGTTTATTTAGGCACCTTTTTGGTAGCTTCATGTAGAATTTTTATGGATTTTTTCGTACATTTTTCAATTGCTTTTGTGTCGATTTTTCTTATTATCTTATTTTGTCTACTTTTTTGTCATATTTTTTGTGGGGATATTCTCATTTATTACATTTTGTTTTTTGCCGTTTTTAAAACGTCTCTTTTGGTAGCCTTTTTTTATCGCCGTTTTATTTTTTTTTCTTTCTTATTTTTTTCTCCTTTTGTTTTTGTCGCTTTATTTTATTGTGATTTCTTGTCATTTTTTGTTGTTCTTTATCGCATGAATAGTTTTTTTTCTTTGACCACCTTATTTTTTTCTTCTTTTTTTTTACCGATTTTTTATAGTCTTGTTTTAGTGCACTTTTAAATAGTCGCATTTTTTTTGCCCTTTTTTTCGTTTTTCTTTTTTCTTCTCTTTTGCTACTTATGTTCTTTTTTCGCCTTGTTTTAACGTCTTTTTTTCACTTTTCCGCTTTTTTAGTCTTTTTTTCGTTCCTTTTTTTACCGTCTTTTCTCTATTCCGTTTTCTATGTCCCATTTTTTGCCGTTTTTTTTTCCTTTTTTTCGTTGTTTTTTTTACCGCTTATCAGCTTATTTTGCCTTCTTTTTTTATCGGCATTTTTGTTATAGTCTTTCGTCTTTTTTGTGGATTTTTTACCGTTTATAAGTCGTGTTTTGGTGCGTTTATTTTTGTCGCTTTTTTTTTTGTTACTTTTTTCTCCCCTTTGGTTGTTTTTCTTTTGTCTTTTTTTGGCATAATTTTTGCTTTTTTCCGTGGTTTGCGTTTTCTACCTTTTTTTAAAATCGCTTTTTGGCACCTTTTTTGTTACCCTTTTTCTGCTACCTTTGTGACTTTTGGCAAGTTTTTTTGTCGTTTTTGGTTGTTTTTTAACGTATTATTTATGGCATTTTTTAGTACATTTTTTCGTTTTTGTGTTTTTTTTTTGACTTATTTCACTTGTTTCTGTGGTCTTTTTTAGTAGCTTTACGTGGCTTTTTCATGGATTTTTTCGCCCATTGCTTTCGTTACAGTTTTTTCCCACCTTTTTTTGTCGTATTTTTGTAGGGATATTTGTTTTATTTATTTTTTATTGTTTTTTTGTTTTTGCCGCTTTAAAAATTTTTTTTTTGAACCCTTTAAAGTCGACTTTTTTCAGTTACCGTTTTTTTCGCTTTGTTTTTACGATTTTTGTTTGTTTTTTTGTGATTTTTGACGTTGTATTTTGTTGTTCTTTATCGTTTTTTTTTTGGGACAATTTTTGTCTTTTTGCGGATTTTTTGTCATTTTTTTTAATAGTTTTTACGGTTTTTTAGTCACCTTATTTTTTCTTCTTTTTTTACCAATTCTTGCTCATCTTGTTTAGTGCACATTTTAATGGTCGCATTTTTTGTTGGTTTTTGAAGATTTTTTTTTGTCCTTTTTATCGTTTTTTGACACCTTTTTAGTTTTCTTTCTTTTTTGCTGTTTATGTTGTTTTTGTCACATTTCCGATTTTTTTTGGTCTTTCTTTTCGTCCCATTTTTTTTAGTCACCTTCTTTATCGCTTTTTTTGTGAATTTTTTGCCTTTTGTCAATCGCTTTCGTGCCGCATTTTTGTTGTAACTTTTATCATGGCTTTTGTCGTTTTTGTTGTTTTTTTTTACCCTTTTTTTTCCGCTCTTTTTTGTCGGTTTTCTTTTGTTGTTTTTTTTTTCAATGTCTTTTCTCTCACGTATTTTTATGTCCCATTTTTTTGACTTTTTTTTTCGTTTTTTTTTTCGTTTGTTTTTTATTGGTCACTTTGTGAGTTTTTTACCGTTTTAAGTCTTTTTTTTGTTACCTTTTTTGCCCTTTTTTGTCTCTTTTTTTGTAGCTTGTCAGGTCTTTTGCTGTTTTTTTGTTTTTCATCGTCTTTGTTTGTCATAATTTTTTCCTGCTTTTTCTGTTTTTGTGGATTTTTTGGCGTTTTTAAATTGTTTTTGGCGCTTTTTCCGCCTTTTTCATTGCCCTTTTGGGCGCTTCTTTGGTTGCTTTGTGTGGCTTTCTTATGGATGTTTTTGCCCATTTCGTGTCAGTTTTTTCTCACCCTATTTTGGCTACTTTTTTGTCGTTTTTGTTATTTTATTGTCTTTTTTATTGCACTTTTTTTTGTCGACTTATTTATTATCTTTTGTTTTTTGTCGTTTTTAAAATAGTTTTTTGGTACTTTTTTTTGTTGTGATCGTTGTCGTTTTATTTTGTTGTGTTTTTTGTCTTTTTTTTTGCATCTTTTTTGGTGCAATTTTTGTTGTTTTGCGTTTTGTTCCCTTATTTTTTTTCTCCCTTTTTATGCTTGTTTTTTCATAGGTTTTTTTTTGTGAAGTTTTTTAATGGCGTTTTTTGTTGTTTTTGTGGATTTTTTGCGCTGTTTAAATCGCATTTTGGCACTTTTTCGTTACTTTTCTTCATCCCGTTTTTTATCGTGATTTTCGTCGGTTTTTTGTCGTTTTTTGTTTTCTATCACTTTTTTCTAGCATGTTTTTCTTGTGTATTTTGTTGGGGCATTTTCTGTCATTTTTTGTTTCAAATTTGCTTTTTTTGAGTTTCTTTCGGGCTCTTTTTTTTAATCTTTTTTTTGTCGCATTTTGTGTCGATGTTTATGTCCTTTTTTTTTTAATACTTTTTTGGTAACGTTTTTTGTCGATTTTTTCTATAAATTTTGTTGTTGTTTACGTGTAAAATGACTACATTCTACCATGATTCTTTCGCGTGAACAAAAAACAAATATTTTCTAAATTTGTTATTCTCGGTGATTTACATTGTTTAAGTAGTGCTCTGGAATACTTAATCATAAAGTGAGTCATAGTAATGTTTAATGAAAGAGAAATTATTGCACGAACAAAGAAGTTATTTTCAAATTTATAAATAGTTTTCAATGTTCTAGATTTATTTTATTTACATTTCGATTTGTTTTCTAATAGGAATACATAATGATTACAAATCTTTAAATAATATTGCAACAAATAAAAATTCAATATACAGAAATTTTATTTAATTATTCAGTAGAATCTCTTTCTATTAAATTCACTCACCAAAGATTAGAAACTGATAAACCAATTTATGATTTTTATTTATGTGGACTTCAGATACTTTTACTAAAACAACCCATACTTCAAAGTAAAATTTATTCCCAGAAAATACTATTTCACAATTCAGTACAGCGACATGTCAGTCTCAAGCTTTCAGACTGATCTTCTCGTCCTCACTTCCTTTGTCAACACGCATCCCCGTACCATTTTTCAGTTCATTCTGGATATCCTCCAGCGTCTTCCCCTTGGTTTCCGGGACAAAAAAGTAAATAAAAACCAACCCCATCACCGCACACACAAAAAACCCATAGAACGAAACATGCAACCCGAACTTCGCCTTCGTTATCTGCAAGTACTTGGAAGCCACAGTGGCCATCACACAAAAATACAAATCAGCCAAACATAAAGCGAACGCTTTAACGCTTGTTGGAAACAGCTCCCCTAACATACAAACAGGAATAGACTGCATCCCGACCCCAAACAGGATCACGAAGGCTAGAAGACCCACTACAGCTACCACCGAAAATGGTCTGGTGTCTATAGTTGTTTCGTTCAAAATGTAGAAGTAAGTACCTTCGACGAAAAGGGCTAACGCCGCCCCTGCCATCGATATAAGAAGCAAGGGCCTGCGGCCGGCCCTGTCAACAATACTGGAAGACAGCGAAGTGAGTACTAGTTGGATGGCGTAGTAAATCATCACTGCATGGTGGTTAGAAATGCGATCTGTGGCAGTTTCAAAAATCTCGTGCGTGTAGAACGCTATAGCGGTGGTACCAGCGAGCTGCTGGAAGCCCCGAAGCCCGCCAGCAATAATCGCGGCTTTTCGGTTACTCGGTACTCTGTACAAGTCCACGAACTTCCCCTTGTGCGACTTCTCTTCAGCTTGAATGGCGGTTCTGATCCGGTTCAAGTCTTCACCAACGTCGGTGGTACCTTTCAGTCTCTCCAACGCCCTTTTGGCTTTCTCCGGCTTATCTTTCATCAACAAATAGTAGGGGCTTTCGGGCATCCATAGAAACGTCACGAATAACAACGCCGGTACTACGGAAGACACTAAAGCGGTGGTTTTGATACTAAAGTACGACCCTATCACGTTGATTATGAGGAAGCCGGCGATCCAGGTGACGGAACAACTCGAGCCCAGCATTCCTCTGACTTTGGCGTCTGCGATTTCCCCGATGTACATAGGTAGTACCGTGAAGGTGAACCCGCCGGCCCCACCAGCGATGAAGCGGGCGAAGTACAAGAGGTAGATGTTTTGGCAGAAGGCTACCGCGATCCAGGCGAAAAAGAAGGGAATGGCGGTGGCTAGTTGGGAGCGTTTGCGGCCGAAAATGTCGACCACGGTGGCGGCGAATAAAGAACCGAAAATGGAACCGACCAGGGGCATGACGGCTAAAGTGGAACCTTCGCTGTCGGTGATGCAGAGGGTGCAAGTGGCGTTGTTGGTGAACTGGGGCACGCTGGGGGAAGCCCAGCCGAAGTGCATGCCGTCGCAGATGACAGCAAGGGTTCCTGAAAAAGAAAGTGATTGGTACTACCACTGGACTGGATAAGTACGTCGTCTAAAGTTGAGTTAAATCTAAGTACTCACCTGAAAGGGATGCCGCGTATTGTAAAGTGGTACTACCTTTAGTTGCTGACGTCATTGTGAATAACTGGTACTTTCAGTTTGTCTGAAAAAAAATTAAAAAGCATTAAAGTAAGAAATCAAGTTCTAAAATCAAGATGGTTAATACACCAAGGACACCACTTACATCAGTACCTCAATTTTTTCTTTTTGAGCGTAAACTAAGTATAGAAATTGAGTCGATCGGGTGACTTGTCACTTTCATGTTTTCTCGACATTTCATGAACTCCCCAACACCATTGGGAGTCATTTCCAAAATTTATATATAGACATCCAGATTTTGAAAAAAAAAAATCAAAATTGTTTAAATTTCAATTTTAAAAATGTTATCTTAAAATTATGAAAAAATTCAAGGACGTGGATCTCGACACGCTGATTCCAAAAATATAGGATGTTGATGGTCACGAAGCAACATTTTCGAAAAAATCGCTGCGAAATGCGAATTTTTGAAAATTTCAAAAATTTCCGTACTTCAACGGTCGATTCTGGAAAAACGGTTGCAGGTATCACAAAATCGAAGCCGGATTTGAGTTCTAGAGCTAGAAATCTACAAGAAAATGTATTTAGTTGAGTTTCGAAAATGTCAAAATTTTTGCGAAATTTGAAAAATTTCAATTTTAAAAAAGTTGTCTAAAAATTATGAAAAAATTCAAGGACGTGGATCTCGACACGCTGATTCCAAAAATATATCATGTTGATGGTCACGAAGCAACATTTTCGAAAAAATCGCTGGGAAATGCGAAATTTTGAAAATTTCAAAAATTTCCATATTTCAACGGTCGATTCTGGAAAAACGGTTGCAGGTATCACAAAATCGAGGCCGGATTTGACTTCTAGAGCTAGAAATCTACAAGAAAATGTATTTAGTTGAGTTTCGAAAATGTCAAAATTTTTGCGAAATTTGAAGAAGGGGGGACCATTAAAAAATTTCAATTTTAAAAAAGTTGTCTATAAATTATGAAAAAATTCAAGGACGTGGATCTCCACACGCTGATTACAAAAATATAGCATATTGATGGTCACGAAGCAACATTTTCGAAAAAATCGCTGCGAAATGCGAATTTTTGAAAATTTCAAAAATTTCCATATTTCAACCGTCGATTCTGGAAAAACTGGTGCAGGTATCACAAAATGGAAGCCGGATTTGAGTTCTAGAGCTAGAAATCTACAAGAAAATGTGTTTAGTTGAGTTTCGAAAATGTCAAAATTTTTGCGAAATTTGAGGAAGGGGGGACCATTAAAAAATTTCAATTTTAAAAAAGTTGTCTAAAAATTATGAAAAAATTCAGGGACGTAGATCTCGACACGCTGATTCCAAAAATATAGCATGTTGATTGTCACGAAGCAACATTTTCGAAAAAATCGCTGCGAAATGCGAATTTTTGAAAATTTCAAAAATTTCCATATTTCAACGGTCGATTCTGGAAAAACGGTTGCAGGTATCACAAAATCGAATCCGGATTTGAGTTCTAGAGCTAGAAATCTACAAGAAAATGTATTTAGTTGAGTTTCGAAAATGTGAATATTTTTGCGAAATTTGAAGAAGGGGGGACCATTAAAAAATTTCAATTTTAAAAAAGTTGTCTAAAAATTATGAAAAAATTCAAGGACGTGGATCTCGACACGCTGATTCCAAAAATATAGCATGTTGATGGTCACGAAGCAACATTTTCGAAAAAATCGCTGCGAAATGCGAATTTTTGAAAATTTCAAAAATTTCCATATTTCAACGGTCGATTCTGGAAAAACGGTTGCAGGTATCATAAAATCGAAGCCGGATTCGAGTTCTAGAGCTAGAAATCTACAAGAAAATCTATTTAGTTGAGTTTCCAAAATGTCAAAATTTTTGCGAAATTTGAAGAAGGGGGGACCATTAAAAAATTTCAATTATAAAAAAGTTGTCTAAAAATTATGAAAAAATTCAGGGACGTAGATCTCGACACGCTGATTCCAAAAATATAGCATGTTGATGGTCACGAAGCAACATTTTCGAAAAAATTGCTGCGAAATGCGAATTTTTGAAAATTTCAAAAATTTCCATATTTCAACGGTCGATTCTGGAAAAACGGTTGCAGGTATCACAAAATCCAAGCCGGATTTGAGTTCTAGAGCTAGAAATCTACAAGAAAATTTATTTCGTTGAGTTTCGAAAATGTCATAATTTTTGCGAAATTTGAAGAAGGGGGGACCATTAAAAAATTTCAATTTTAAAAAAGTTGTCTAAAAATTATGAAAAAATTCAAGGACGTGGATCTCGACACGCTGATTCCAAAAATATAGCATGTTGATGGTCACGAAGCAACATTTTCGAAAAAATCGCTGCGAAATGCGAATTTTTGAAAATTTCAAAAATTTCCATATTTCAACGGTCGATTCTGGAAAAACGGTTGCAGGTATCATAAAATCGAAGCCGGATTCGAGTTCTAGAGCTAGAAATCTACAAGAAAATCTATTTAGTTGAGTTTCGAAAATGTCAAAATTTTTGCGAAATTTGAAGAAGGGGGGACCATTAAAAAATTTCAATTTTAAAAAAGTTGTCTAAAAATTATGAAAAAATTCAGGGACGTAGATCTCGACACGCTGATTCCAAAAATATAGCATGTTGATGGTCACGAAGCAACATTTTCGAAAAAATTGCTGCGAAATGCGAATTTTTGAAAATTTCAAAAATTTCCATATTTCAACCGTCGATTCTGGAAAAACGGTTGCAGGTATCACAAAATGGAAGCCGGATTTGAGTTCTAGAGCTAGAAATCTACAAGAAAATGTGTTTAGTTGAGTTTCGAAAATGTCAGAATTTTTGCGAAATTTGAAGAAGGGGGGACCATTAAAAAATTTCAATTTTAAAAAAGTTGTCTAAAAATTATGAAAAAATTCAAGGACGTGGATCTCGACACGCTGATTCCAAAAATATAGCATGTTGATGGTCACGAAGCAACATTTTCGAAAAAATAGCTGCGAAATGCGAATTTTTGAAAATTTCAAAAATTTCCATATTTCAACGGTCGATTCTGGAAAAACGGTTGCAGGTATCACAAAATCGAAGCCGGATTCGTGTTCTAGAGATAGAAATCTACAAGAAAATGTATTAAGTTGAGTTTCGAAAATGTCAAAATGTTTGCGAAATTTGAAGAAGGGGGGACCATTAAAAAATTTCAATTTTAAAAAAGTTGTCTAAAAATTATGAAAAATTTCAAAAATTTCCATATTTCAACGGTCGATTCTGGAAAAACGGTTGCAGGTATCACAAAATCGAAGCCGGATTTGAGTTCTAGAGCTAGAAATCTACAAGAAAATGTACTTAGTTGAGTTTCGAAAATGTCAAAATGTTCGCGAAATTTGAAGAAGGGGGGACCATTAAAAAATTTCAATTTTAAAAAAGTTGTCTAAAAATTATGAAAAAATTCAAGGACGTGGATCTCGACACGCTGATTCTAAAAATATAGCATGTTGATGGTCACGAAGCAACATTTTAGAAAAAATCGCTGCGAAATGCAAATTTTTGAAAATTTCAAAAATTTCCATATTTCAACGGTCGATTCTGGAAAAACGGTTGCAGGTATCACAAAATCGAAGCCGGATTTGAGTTCTAGAGCTAGAAATCTACAAGAAAATGTATTTAGTTGAGTTTCGAAAATGTCAAAATTTTTGCGAAATTTGAAGAAGGGGGGACCATTAAAAAAATTCAATTTTAAAAAAGTTGTCTAAAAATTATGAAAAAATTCAAGGACGTGGATCTCGACACGGTGATTCCAAAAATATAGCATGTTGATGGTCACGAAGCAACATTTTCGAAAAAATCGCTGCGAAATGCGAATTTTTGAAAATTTCAAAAATTTCCATATTTCAACGGTCGATTCTGGAAAAACGGTTGCAGGTATCACAAAATCGAAGCCGGATTTGAGTTCTAGAGCTAGAAATCTACAAGAAAATGTATTTAGTTGAGTTTCGAAAATGTCAAAATTTTTGCGAAATTTGAAGAAGGGGGGACCATTAAAAAATTTCAATTTTAAAAAAGTTGTCTAAAAATTATGAAAAAATTCAAGGACGTGGATCTCGACACGCTGATTCCAAAAATATAGCATGTTGATGGTCACGAAGCAACATTTTCGAAAAAATCGCTGCGAAATGCGAATTTTTGAAAATTTCAAAAATTTCCATATTTCAACGGGCGATTCTGGAAAAACGGTTGTTGGTATCACAAAATCGAAGCCGGATTTGAGTTCTAGAGCTAGAAATCAACAAGAAAATGTATTTAGTTGAGTTTCGAAAATATCAAAATTTTTGCGAAATTTGAAGAAGGGGGGACCATTAAAAAAATTCAATTTTAAAAAAGTTGTCTAAAAATTATGAAAAAATTCAGGGACGTGGATCTCGACACGCTGATTCCAAAAATATATCATGTTGATGGTCACGAAGCAACATTTTCGAAAAAATCGCTGCCAAATGCGAAATTTTGAAATTTCAAAAATTTCCATATTTCAACGGTCGATTCTGGAAAAACGGTTGCAGGTATCACAAAATCGAAACCGGATTTGAGTTCTAGAGCTAGAAATCTACAAGAAAATGTATTTAGTTGAGTTTCGAAAATGTCAAAATTTTTGCGAAATTTAAAGAAGGGGGGACCATTAAAAAAATTTCAATTTTAAAAAAGTTGTCTACAAATTATGAAAAAATTCAGGGACGTAGATCTCGACGCGCTGATTCCAAAAATTTATCATGTTGATGGTCACGAAGCAACATTTTCGAAAAAATCGCTGCCAAATGCGAATTTTTGAAATTTCAAAAATTTCCATATTTCAACGGTCGATTCTGGAAAAACGGTTGCAGGTATCACAAAATCGAAGCCGGATTTGAGTTCTAGAGCTAGAAATCTACAAGAAAATGTATTTGGTTGAGTTTCGAAAATGTCAAAATTTTTGCGAAATTTGAAGAAGGGGGGACCATTAAAAAATTTCAATTTTAAAAAAGTTGTCTAAAAATTATGAAAAAATTCAGGCACGTAGATCTCGACACGCTGATTCCAAAAATTTTGCATGTTGATGG